AGAGATGGGGCTGACCCCGCGCCCCGCCCTGACCTCCTGCAGGACAGCCCCTGGGCCGCTCCCTCCCCGCCTCCCTCCCCAGCCTCCAGGAGCCTGCAGGCCTCCCAGTGACGCCAGTGACCCCCAAACTCCAGGCCCGCGGGAGTTTGACCGCTCCCACTTGACTGACTGCGGAGTGGGCATCTGGGGAGACACAGGGCCAGAGAAGGCCGGGGCTCGGTGGAGAGCAGCACACGGGGGCGCCAGAGGGCCGTGGGCCAGCCGGCTCTGTCCTGGAGGGGAGTGGGGGCCCCGGCTGGGCAGGCCTCGGGCGCCCCAGGACCCACCCGCGGGTCCCGGCCAGGCTTCCCGCGCTGGACGCAAAGTGCCCAAGGAGCCTCCCGCCTGTCGAGAGCTAGTGGCTGGCACAGCCAGGCCCGGCCAGCGCCCCAGCAACCTCACAGTGTCCACGGAGCCTCGTGTGCAAACCACCCAGGCCCAGCGGGGGTACCCGGTCGGCGGGCGCATCACCCCACCCCCCTCGCCTCCCGGGGTTCCCGGGCACTCCACCTCTGCCCAGCAGCGTGGCCCCTCTGCGCCCAGAGCCCAGCTCAGCCAGGTGGAGGCCCGCGCCCGTGAGGTGGGCACCCCGCTCCGAGGGCTCAGGACGCAAAGGAACCCGCGTCACCCCCATGGTGGCCGGGCTGCGGGGAGACGGGCTGGACCCTGCAGCCGCCCGGACCCCGCTCCGGCCGGCGCCCTGCTCCCGCACCTGCTCACCGCTCCCTGGAGCCCGGGTCTTGCACCCCTCTGCACTCGCTCGGCCCCTCCCCAGGTGACCTTCCGAGCCCGTTGCCCCTTGGCTGGGGCGCCTGCTCCCCGCATCCTCTGCGCCTTGCGGGCAGCAGGCGCCTGGTAAGAGGCTGGGCTGGTCCCACAGCCGCTGACCCCCGAGGGCGGGCGAGCTGGCCCTGCTCCCCCGGGCTGGACGGGGTGCCCTCAGACACCTTCCAGGAGCCTGTCACCCCAGAGCTCTCCGGGACCTGCGGTGGAGCTTGGAAGCAAGAGGTCGGGCATTTCTGCGGGAGGCTGAGAAGGGGTGCAAGAAGACTGGCACCCTGAGAAGACGCAGGCTTGGGGGGTGGGGGGCGGGGGGGGACGGGGAGGGAGCAGCTGCCCCTGCTGCTTGGGAAGGCGGGGCCCAGCCTGGCGGCACAGTGCCAAGCCGAAGCGGGGACCAGAGCCAGAGCCACTGCCAGGAGGCGCCCCAGGCCAGGACGACTCGACCCCTGCACCCTGGCCAGGACCCCACCGCTGCCTGCCCGGGGCTGGGGCATCCCGGGCACCTCCTCACGGCACTGAGGACGTTTGCCCGACTCAGCTGGCGGCCGGCCGGCCAGGAGGGAGGCAGGCCCAGTGCCTGCCTGCCCAACCCCTTGCCCACAGCCCATCCCCACTGTCCCTGGTCAGTCCCGGAGTCCACACACGACCACCGGCTGGCTAGGCCTTCTCGGGTCACTCTGCTGGGCTAGATTTCCTGGGTTGAACAGGTCAAGGAGTCCCCATTTTCAGTCACAGAATTCTTACAGACAGACGGTGCAGACCAGGACATGGGCCCCCCGCTCGCCCTCCCCCCAGCAGGCTGAGGCCCCGTTAGGGCCCAGGCGCGGGAACCTGGTGTGAAGCCTGGCGGGTGGGGCCAGCCCTGTGCCCAGCAACCTGAGCTCGCTTTGCTGTGGCCGTGACCTCCAGGGCCCGCTGGCCAGGGACACTCGGAGGCTGTCACCCAGCCGGCTCTGCAGGGTCCCGGTCAGAAGCCGGGGAAGGTTCCAGCCCAACTCGAGACTCCAAAGTCGGTGGTGGCAGGGGGCTTCCTGGAGGAGGTGGTCTTGGAAGGCCCAGTGCCGCTTCTGCACAGTGACCGTGGGCGGCACGCTCAGGGCCCAGGGCCTCTGGCCCCCGCTCAGAGGGGCCGGCCTCGGGCTCCTTCTGCAGGCAGCTGCTGCCCAGAGGACACAGCGCTGAGGCGGGAGCCCTGCGCACCCCGCGGCCTCGGGCCAGCTCCAGGCTTCCCCTGCCGGCTGGGCGCCCGACTCCTCACCTGTGTGGTGGGGCGGTGACCGCCCCTCGTGGGCAAGCGAGGGCCACACCCCGCTGTGCTCTGAGCTGGGTGGAGACATTCGCCCTCCGTCTCAAGTCACTTTTTCACCCAGCCTGACAGTAGCGCAGCTGGCCGGTCCGGGCAGGCAGGACGGAGGGCCCGAGGCCTCCGGCCTCCCTGTGATGGGGGATGAGCAGCTGCCTGGCCACGCCGCACCGCCCGCCCCGGGCACCCAGAACAGGCCCCGAGGCCCGGACTGTGTCCCTCTCCTCCCAGGGGCCGCCCTGACTTGGCTTCTCCTTCCCCGTGAGGAGCTGACAGCTCAGAGGGGGGCCCGGGGCCAGACACAGGCCAGGCAGGCGGACAGGAGACCAGGGCCCGGGGCCAGGCGGGCGCTGGGACGCGGGTGCCGGGGCCTGGTGACGGCCGGGTGGCGGCCTCCGTCAGTCCAGAGCCCTCGGTCTCCAGCGTCCAACCCGCTGTGTCCGGCCGCTGGGGCTGCCGTCCCCAGCTTCCCGTCGGAGCCTGCCGGGCCTCGGGCGCACCACAGAGGTCAATGAGGGAGAACGTGGGCTTTGTCCTCCCTCCGCTCCCAGCCAGGAGCCCTGGGCTTTTCCGCCAGACCGAGCCTCTGCTCAGGGTGGGACGGGTGGCACTGGCCACGCTGGGCCTCCACAGCGCGAGAAGAGGGCTCCTTTGTGTGCGGAGCAAGGACAGGGAAGAGGAAGCCAGGCTGGCCAGGAAGCGACTGGCCGCTGGCACTCCAGAGCAGCGGAGTGGACAGGCCCCAGCAGGGGCAGGGCGCGTGGGTCCTGGACACCCCTGCGGGCCCGCGGCTGCCCACAGAGGCGGGTTCCGGCCGTCAGAGACAGCAGACGCGGCCACACATCCCCCGGCCGTGCGATGGACGGCCAGCAGGGCGGCTCTCCTGCCCACAAGGGCTCCCCCTGAAGCCCCCGTGGCCTCTCCTGCCGCCAGGGCCCAGGGCACCCCGCCTCTGCCCGACCAGGGACAGAGACCCCGGCGGGCCGCTGGCTCCGAGCGCTGGGTCCGGCAGCCCCGGCCACTGTGCTCCGGCTGTCCTGGAGCCGTGGGTCTGTCCAAGCCGGGGGAGGAGCGCAGCGGGGGACGGACAGACAGCTGTCTGGGTGGGGGAGGGGCTCCGTGTGCATTCCAGGCACTTCAGCCCCTCCTAAAGCCCTGCTCCCCACGGGGGCGGGGGAGAAGGCGGCTCAGCTCCCCAGCCCTGCCTGCCCCCAGGGCCCCCAGCCCGCCAGGCCTGGCCCCTGCCCACGCCCTCGGGAGGGCGCCGCC